CGTCATCTCACAGTCCTTCCTTTCATTTACGTGTTTGTGTTGCGTTTATCTTATTGGCTGTTCTGCATGTTCGGCATCTGCTCTTTTCTAGGCCTTGTGCTGGACAGATAAAAGTTCAGAAGTACAGTTAAGAGAAATTAGTTGTGTAAACAGTAGTAAATGTCAATGATAAAGTTCTGTTGAAGCGCATCTGATGAGTGGCAATGCAGGTGTCTTATCTCTCCCCAGCAATAGAAGGCAAAATGGAAATGATGCTGTGGTGCGCATGAGATGCATATCCCAGAAATTTGTATCTTTTTCAACTGAACGGTTTGACCCACAGAGGCTGGGAATGCTTGAATTAAAGTGGTTTTGTGTGTGTGTTGTCTGTGTTGGGGGGGTGGCTTGTGGGCCCATGTTGGTATGCTTGAATTAAATTGATTGTGTGTGAGTCATATAAGTCTGTTGAGTTATATTGGACTGCAGAAATACTCTAGCTCTTCTTTAAATTTGAGCTGGATGTTTATACTTAACATGCTTTGCATTTTGCAAATGTATTCTTGAGAATGGAAACACGCGCACACACATTTCTTTTAGAATGTGCAAGATTTGTCATTCAGCAGAGGTTAAACCCCACCTATTAGTGCGGGGTCGGAGTGCGCCTCAGATAAAGATTTCCTGTTGTACTTTGTCAAAAAATCAATAGCTGCGCTGTGATCTGCTCATTTGATATCAACAATAGTCTTTTTAAAAATCAATTAGTCCTGATAGGGTAGTTCATGTAGCTGAGGAACAGTAGGAGCTGTCTCATTGGCTAAACCACTCCTTTTTTCAGCCAATGAGTAGAGTTGTTTGTGCAGGCTATATTAATATGCTTTAAGTCAATGTTTTTCTTTAAGATTACCACGTAGTGAAGTGTGTTTTTGTGGGAATATTGTAGTCATCAAATTTGTTTTTCATGTTTTCTTGGTTTGAAGGATGTACTACAGTAAGTACAAAGCCATATAAATGTGAATAAGCATATTGTACAGGCCCATGCCTAAGCTTGTAACAAGTGAGTTTTTTTTTGCTACAGCGGAAAATTAATTTCTCTCCCTTCCTCTCACTGGTGTGTTGTTGAGTGGTCATGCTGACAGGAGTGTGTGGTGGATTCTGTTTGTCCACTAAGCTCTCCACAATGCTGACAAATGGACTTGTGATCTCAGTTTTTCCTAATGGTTTTATGTGTCTGTCAAGAACTATATTGATGCCTGATGAAACATTTAAACTGGTGAGATAACAGTTTTAAAAAGTAGCTAATATGAATTTGAATAGGTTGTTTTCATGTTTGTTTTGGCGGATATCAGGGCTGAATGATTTGGAGAAAATGCGATTTTCCTGACCAACATTGCGAGTGTGATTTGAATTGTGCTTATTTTCTATAAATATAAACAGTGTATACATTTGTTCTGGGTTGGGGCTTGAATGCTGAACACTGAATGCCAGATTGTCAGTTAGTGAGGATTTTGTTGTGATGTACACAGCACATGAGTACTTGTTTGCTTCTGATTGGTCTAACTCAACTGCAGATGGTTCACAAGCTCTGTCTTATTGGTTTTAATTTGCCTTGTTAATACAACGTTGCTGATAACGTAAGATATAAATAAAAGTGCAACTGTAGCGATTTGAAAGTTGTGCTCTTTCAATTTGTGATTTTGATGCTTAGATGTTTAGTATGCCTGTTCTTATAGCTCAAATTCTGAAATGATAGATGTGTTGCCAGGTTGTTTAGCACATTGTTGTCAGTGTAAGGCTCTGATGCCGATATAGATACATTAATATTTATTAAACATGGAATTGAAACAAAATCTACCTCAATTAGCATTACAGAGAAATGTAACTTAATTCATAGAAAGTTACAAATGCAATGAAATGAATAAAATGCATTTCTTCATTGCAATAAGTCATTTTAGTACAGTAGCCAAGCATTGCCTAAACTCTTCTAAAGCACAATAAATACATTGTCAGATATCACTTTGGAAAATTGGTCTTAACATCTGTCCGATGTCTTTATTTTTCTAAGCAAATAATCTGTTTCAGACTTCTCTTCTCTTCTCTTCTCTTCTCTTCTCTTCTCTTCTCTTCTTATTTCTCACTGTCTGCCATGCTGCTATTAGTGTTAGTTATTTCTTTAATGATGGAGTGGTTGTTTTATAGTGTTCAGGCCAGGCGCCTGAGCTATTGATAAGGGTTTGTATGGACACTGCCAGTGTGGAGCAGTATTGATAAGAGCTATGTGGACTCATCGCTATTGATAAGGACACCCTGCAGGTTTTCGGCGCTGGTCACGCAATAGCATCGATAAGGCCAGTGAGGGTTTTGTAGGGGGTTGCTAAGGCCATAGAGAGAGGCAGTAACTGAGGGCTTGGCTGGGTATTGTGTGGGAAAATGGTGGGGTTGTGATGATAAAGGGCCAGTTCTTTAGAGAGAAGGCATCACAGTTATTAGCTGAGAGTGAGATTTTAGATAGATACTCTGCTAATGCAAAAATGAATTGCATCTTTTAAACCATACTGTTAAAATGTGTATTGTTAATCTTCTCTGGATATTGGCTGTAATTATTCCCTAAGCACTGTTTAATGGTTCCCCCAGCTGGTTTAGATTGGTTAAAGGGATGGGATTTTTTTGATGTGCAAACATCAACCTATAGGCCATGTGAGAAGTATGAGTAAAAATGCATTCAATGTTGGATTTCATGATGATAAATTATAACACCTGAGTAAAATTAAATGTAGTATTTTTTCAGAAATAAAATTGCCAGAAAAATACAAAAATCCATGAAAATTTTATATTCTACTGTTGCATAAATAGGTCTAACTTTGTGTAAATTTGTGTATTCAGTGTTTTAATTCTGAATCGTACCAAAATAATCACATTGAATCTTTTGAGGATTCACGATTCACAAATTGCTTCCTAACTGAATAGAATCACTGAGGTCAGAGATTTATACACTTAATAAGCAACTGACTGAGTGCACAAATAAGCACTTTCCAAAGCTCTGCTGCTCACCTCATGCTGATGGAGGGGTCATACGAGGGGTCAGGGTGGGCACTGATGCTGGGCTGAGATTAGGGCTCACTGATAGGGCTCCCGGACTCCGGGCTTCTGGGGCGATAGCGGACCTGGACACTGGACTTCAGCCCACTGATAGCAGCACAATCTCTGATGGCTAATGACAAACCTGGTTAATGACCAACCTGCTTTACCGTGGCCGGTCTGACCCTGTGCATATCTCAATCACTCACTAATACCATGAGGATACACTACTTCACGTCCATTTATGCTTGTTTCTCACTTTCTGTGTCCCCCATGTCATAACCATGTCTCATTCAAATATGCTTCCCTTTTGTATAGCTCTCCGCTTCTATCTTTGTTCCTTTCTCCATCCCTCCACCTCCCCTCCCTCACTCCCTCCCCCTTTCTCTGGGTCTTGGCTGTGGGAAAGCCATTTTATCAGCGTCTGTCTGTTGTTCTCTGGTGGGGATAGATACAGAGAAGATAGATGAGTGTTTTGACATGGAGAGTGTTAGACAAACACTCTTATCGGCCCGGCACTTTAGCCCGACCCCCGAAAGCGAGACTGAACCATGGAGAGACCTGGAGGAGTGTGTGTATATGTGTGTTTAGGGGGATTAGTTTAGAGGAACTGAACTAGGGTGAAATGGTCGAAGCTGAAGTACCACTCAGGCTGAGCAGGTCTTCAAGCCATACGTCAGAACAGAGGAGCTAGCCATATTCATGCAGAAAATGCAGGTCAGTGGACGTGCTGATCCTTAGACAAAATGTGTGGATCGTTTCAGTTTCCATGAAGCCAAATTGATCTTTAAGAACTTGTTAAGCGTGGATTAGGTGGGCCTGTATTTGAGAGAAGTTTTTGGTGTTTCTGAGAAGTGTTGTATCACTTTGTGGAGTGCTTGTCTGTTCCTGTGTCAGGACTGCATCTGTGAATCAGCAAAGCCTTGACTCCTATCCCTGTTTTGTACTTATCTTTGAAGTACAGGAAGTACAAAAGTTCTCCTCGTTGTGTCCCACTTTTCCCAAGCGTTCTCTCAGTTCCTCTTACTGAGCGCCAAACTCCCCCTAGTGGTGCATTTTGAAGATGACGTGCTTGGCAAAGCTGTTTTGTGGCTGTATTGCAGATGCCTTTAGTTTGATTATATTTCATCTGCCTGTGCTTCATCTTATATCTTTAAATCCACACCTGTTGGCTTTCTTGACTAACTAATTAAGCTTTTGTCAGTTAATACACTGTGCAAGCTAGAGGAAGACAGTATTGGTTTATCGCAGATATGGGCAGGGGTAGACATATTAATCATTTGGTCAGAATAACAGAAACTTTTACAGTATATACACTGTATGTACAATTAACAAGAATGTTTCAGTCAGATGTGGCTTTGACATTACATTTACATTAATAAGAGCATTGCCATTGTAGTGACCGAGGTGGTCCTCTTGACAAACCGTTCCGCCCTTGTGTCAGCCTGTCTAGATTAAGTCATTAGATACTGTTTAGTTACTGCAGTGATAGCCTCTTGGTGTAACGGAAGCTTATTTTCCACATTATTTTATTCAAGTCCTTATTTTATAGACTGATACTTGCCAACTTTAGCCAATGGAAAGGCATCTATGACGCCAGGCCGACTAGCTCGTCAGGGAGGACCACCACAGTTTTCTGGAGGGTCTGTTATCACCACAGCATCACATTAACGGTGGTTACAGTTAAAGAATTCCAACAAAATCTGATTTGATGTAATTAGTTCTGTGTCCAACCAAAGGGCTTAAAAGGGTGTTAAAAGGAAAAATGGATGAAAAAAAGAACAAAATAACTCCAAGGCAAGTGACCACTCAGGCCACAAAATGTGAAATGTTGTGGCCAGGGGAGCCAGGCAATAGGCAATATCTACCCCTAAATATTGCATTCTGATTCCCTATTTATAACTTTCTCTCTCTTCTCCTTTTTATTTCTGTGTGTATGAAAACAGATGATTTGGAGCTGAGTGATGGGCCGGAAGACCCTAAGGTTGTGGCCCATAGGGACCTGTTGGTGGACACAGTGTGGGGACCTTTCTCTGGAACCATCCAATCAGTCGAGGCTTCTGACGGAACATCCAATGAGGTGAGGGGGAGGACTGGGAGGGATGGGTCAAAGGTCATGTGCAGGAGGCATGGCCAAACGAGCGAGATCTATAGCAAAGATAGAAGATGATAGTGTTACTGTTCGATCGTCTCTGTCTGATTCCTCACATTACTAATGTTCATGTGATTGTCGCTGAACGCAGAGTGTTTGTGTTAGCGAAGCCTGCTGTCATGTGCTGAAAGTCCATCTGATCATGTGATTCAGCACTGTGAGAGTGTTCTTCTCTCTGGCCATGTACTTGAACATTTTAGAGATAAGACGCTCTCTCTCTGTCTCTCTCACTCACTCACTCACTCTCTCTTTAGCACACATACGCCCTGACATATGTACACACATATGATCATTTTTGGCCTAAGAATTAATGTTGAAGCACATATGCTGATCTACAGATAAGATATAATATACACTATCATAAATAAAGTGTCCTAAATGTTTTTTTGGCATGAATTTTTAGAGAACATTATGTGGAGGTTCTTTAAATTTTCTGTGCACATCTAATCTACATTTATCCATTTAAAAGCCATTTTTGGATAACCAAAAAGGGTTCTCTGAAGCAATGCCATAAAAGAATAACTTTTGGTTTCCTAAAAAAGAAAAGAAAAAAGTGGTTCTTCTTTGACATCACACCAAAGAACTTCTAAAATTAAACATAACTGTGACAACAGCAAACATAACTGTGGTATAATTCAGTCATCTTGTAAGCAAGTGTCATAATTTAGGGTAATGATGGAGGAAAAAGAAAGCAATCCTGTTCCTTGCTGTACTGTAGGATAAGCCAAACCGCAGATGGCTGTATGCAAATGGCAGCTGGTGTCTTCTAGAATGGGCTCGCTTCATCTTTTTCCCCTGAACTGTGTGGGTTCTGTTGGCTGAATCTTGCGTGTGATTGGCTGCTCCCCCCAGACGGAAGCTCCTCTTTTATCTCAGTATGGCGCCATCCTCCTGGACAACAAACCCCAATGATTGATTTCGCCTTGATAGTCTCTCATTTCTAAGATTTCATTTATTATCAGGATTTCTAGGTCCGCACCCACCCCCCTCCTCCTCCTCCTCTCTTTCTCTCTCTCTCTCCCTCACCCTCTCTCTCTCTCCCCTCCACCTTTCCTTCACCTCCTCCTCCTCTTAATCTCCCTCTCTCCATCCCTCCCTCCCTCCCTTCCTCAAACCTCGTTATCGAGGCGAAGGCTTTGTTGATGATTTTCAGTTCGGAACTTTCGCATTCGTATTCTATCACGTCGGCTCTCCCTCTTACTCTGCGCTATCTGCGAGCCGAAGGAGTGTGTATCTGCGCGAGATAGCGCCCAGAGAATCACACATTCCTGCCGCCTTGCTCCCCTGTCCCTCTGCATCCTCCTGCTTGGCCGTCTGAAGGGGTCACCAGGGGTCAGGGCCAGTCCTTCTAAGCCTGGCCGCTTGCATGTGCCCAACCCATACGCGCTGTCTGAAGATTAGGATGAATTCTTGCAGTTGATAACATGCACTCTGAAATCATGCACTTTCGTTGCTGTTTATTTTTTCCCTTTTTTCCAGACGTTGAAAATAAGTCAGATTTCTTTATCACAAAGAGGAATAAAATATAGAGCAGCCTCCGCCAAACCATATAGGGTTGTTTGTGTAACGAGATATGCATAATTGTGCAGTTAAAGCTGTTATCTCTGATAGCCTGAAAGAATGGAGGTTTTGAAACAGCTCTAAAGTGGAGGAAGTGCTGGGCTTTGTGGCTGCGGTGGCAGTGGAAGGTGCTGATGTCGAGTGGTCTTTTCTCTCTGTCTCCCTTGGTGCCTCTGGACTTTTTGGTGAACACTCTTCAATTCATCGCCTCCCTCCCCATCACCCTGCTAATAGGCAAGCCTGGCCTGGCTTCGCTGCCAAACCTGTGTGCTTTACTCTCGCTCTGCAAATTTGCCTCTTCTTTGGCCCGCTCTGATAAGCTATCAGCTTTATACGGCCCTTCCAAATAACACTAGGAAACAAGTGCGTGCTGTGTGGCTAGGCACAAACTGATATTTGCTCAACGATCGTCTGATTTGTTTTAATGCTCAAACCTGCGTATTTATGGTCATATATATACAGTGGCATGGGCTTTTTGGTGGATAGTGGGTGTGGGGGTCATGGCTGTTGTAGTTCCTAGTAAAGTGGGTGTTTCCAGTCTGAGATGGAATCGGGTACTTTCCTGGTTGTAGAGATCTTGTGCTGTAAATTATCAGTTCCAGCAGCCGGGGCTACATGTAAAGTCTCTCATTTGCATCTCTTTAGAAAGTCCCATGAAGTCATTTATCTATTTAAATAAGAATTTTAGATGCAGATGTTAAGCAGCTAGAGCATACAGATGGGCCTGTATTCTGTTCTCAGATTTTAATTTTTACGTATTAGCTGATCTGGAAAAAGTTCAGTTAACAGTTTATGGTGCATATCATCGAACTGTCTTTCCAGTGATGACTTTCACTAAACATCACTAATCACAAAGCCTCCATGTTCTTAAACACATTTAAAGATGTACTCTATATAGTTAATAAGGTTACATTTTTGTGTTATATTTATTTTGCTTTGTTTTACACATGGAGACACATTTGCATGTTTGCAATTAATGTTCTGCTTTAACTCAACAGAGGAATGCACTATACTGTAGATGTTGTTTAGCCATGCTCACCTGTGGGATATGCTTATTTTGGCCCATATTAATTAAATCTCAGAGTGAGAATGCTGAACTGGGATCAGTCTATGCCTTTTACATAACACTATATAGAGGTGCATGACCTGATGATCTCAGCATCAGGGTTGTTACTTGATAAATAATTGAGAAACTTGATAAATAATGTCTTTTGTCTTTATATAGTAACATTCTACATTCTCCCTATACACAAGCCTCTAATATTTGAGCAAGCTTATTAAATTCTGCTTTGAGTCCATTTTCTGGTTGGTGGAAAAGCTTTCATCTGGTATGTAAACTTCTATTGGTATGATTGGCTTTGAATATGGGACACTACACAGTTTATGTCTTTAACTAGCCAGTGTAGCCTCCAGGCTGAATGCTAGCCATGATTGTACAAGCTCTCTCCCTGAACAGACACCGGAACAACATCTGCAAACAGAGAGCGACTTCAACATACATGTGGCTTTTGTTCACTCTCCTCTGCCACTCTCGCTATTTCGCGGAAACACTGCCCGAAGGCGCGATGGTGGAGTGAGCGAGTGCGGAGTTCAAAGCCTTATCACGCGCTGCGTGTCTTTTCATCATGTTTTAGAAACAAGCGTCCCCACTAATCCTCCAATAATCTCTCCAGGAGAACTGCTCCGATAAGCACCGCCACCCACTGCTCTTCAGCTCACTTTTTGGGGGGCTCTGCAAACCCCCCCAACAGTCACCCCTCGAAGGACGAGTGAAGGTGAGCGCCCCCCACCTTCTCTCCCTCGCTCTCTTGCTCTCCCTCTCTTCTTGTTCTGATAGAGTTTGTTTACCCTGCATTCTATCTCTCTGGTTTATCTACATCTGCCAGTAGAGTGTCTCAGAGAGTCACCCCTCGCTGCCCATGCTTTTCGCTGAAAGCGATGCATGAATACCTTCAATTATAGCCTCTCTCAATTATCTGCTGTCAGATAAAGGGGCAAAGCAAGCCAGGCTGGGTCCAGCTGGGAAGTGACATCATGTGGGTTTTTGAGAGGGTTTTTCGGATGTATGTGTAAGCTAGCACTTGGCAATATATTGTCTTTACTGGCATACTGGTGTTCATCAGTTAACCGCAAGTTATCATTAGAAGTGACCGGGTGCTTCAGATTGTTTTGAAAGAGCAGTTTAAAATACTGTTTATTTAGTTTTTATGTAAGTCTCCTTTCTGGAAATCTGGTTTCTAGTTGGTCAGTGTTAATGTTTACAAATCTATGTAAGGTTCCCTTTGGTATCATTTTGAGAGAAGGAAACAAACAATAAAACAACAATAAAAACAGTCCAAGCTATGTCAGCTTTGTAACATTTTTTTTAGCATAGAGTGGCATTACTTAGAATGAATGAAGTGAAGTGCTTAATATTAACTTAAAGCTACCATGTATATGTTTTGTGGATTTGGAGACCACTCTGATGGAAGTATGTAATGTGTGGAAGAACATTTTGCAACATCAGAAGTGTTTTGGACCTCTTTCCCGAGCAGAAGAATCTGACAGTTGTGAGCGTCTTGAAAGAGTATTCAAAGAGAACTTGGTGAAAACTTTGTGAAGGACACGTCTTCAGAGCACGTAAGTGAATAATGCTACTATTATCATCATATCTTAATCAGTATAATGTTGATTTGCGTTTGAGACCTGAATATCGAGCCAGACCTTCTTTATGAGACTGTGCATGTGACTTTAATACGTAAAGACGTTTGATGTGGTCCAGAAAACTACAGCGAAATCCAACCCAACACCTATTATTTCAATAATAGCTTCAACACGCACACACAATATTTTGGTGTTTTTTTCCTCCAGACTCAGTAATGCTACTTCGTTCAACTGTAACAAAATATCTCACATAATGCAGCTTTAAATATTTTTATATAAGACTGTGATATTGTGATGTATTCGGAAAGTATTGTGATATTGAACTGAATCAGTACCAGCCAGCAAAACTATGCTGTCCTCCCACCACTCACAGCAGGATGACCGGATCCAAGAACAGAAGGAAGAAGTGAGAAATAGAAGGGAATAGAGAAAATAAAAAAGCTGAGGAGAACAGAAATAAAAACAGCAGAATAAAAAGGGGAAGTGAACAGGAAAGAGCAACTCATCTATCTAACCGTTGCTGGTATCTGGAGTTCAGCAGGATGGGGGAGAGGAAGAGGCAGATAGGGAGAGAGAAAGAGAGGGAGAGAGAAAAGAGATGGGGAGAGAAAGAGGGAAGAGGGAAAACCTTCCTGTATCTCTGAACCTCATCTCCAGTGTTCAGAAGCACGGCTTTCCAAGAGTGCCTCATTTTCAAATCTCTTATCTCGTCCGTTTTAAGTATC